GCTGTTGTTATTATTATTGCAATTATTATAATTGCGCACACATAGGAATCGACAGTTGGACAGGATCCTGCCAGAGACCAGCCCACACAGACTTGCACGCATAATGGGGGCTAAGGAAAAAGGAGCCAGAAATAAAAACTAATTCACTTCTTGTGCTTCACAGTGCGCCCGTTTCCTGTCCTGTCGTCAGCAGATTTGCATAACTTTTTCCAATTTCAAAGCTCAAGCTGTGGCCAGGGCATACGTATGCTATATATATGTACGTATCTATATGTATAAGCCGCACCACGGTCTTCATCCTTCGACCATCTCCGGTTACAGGCGTCGTCATCGTGGCGCTGACGTTACCCAGGCTGCTTCTTATTTACGTCAATTGCTTGCGCATTCGCTTAGCCATTATTCAGATACACTCAGCGAAAGTGAGGCACAGTCGTTCTGTTAAGATATGTCTTATATGCGTGGTGAATAGGTATGAATTCCAAAGATTGGTATTTCATTATAATCCTTTGACTAGATTTCAAACAGATTTGACAAAATGTACATTATGGTCTTAAACATTCTTGCATATAAATTGAACGATTAAGTTGTTTCTGATTATGCAAAAAGGTGAAGCCAAGGTTAGGTCAAAACATAAACAATAAATCAGATTAAAATAACTCCTAATATTAATCAAGAAAAAAACAAAATGTATAATCATTATAGGAAATATCAATTAAGAAAGTATAAATCATTGTATCTTAAGCCTCAATTGGGACGCTTTCAAATCGCCCCAGAATTTTTTCAATAATTTTGTTTTAGGTCTGAATATTAGACAGTCAGATTATTCTCTGTGTACGACTCTACGTGGTTAAAAGGTTGAGGGGATTGAGCGTAGAAGAGGAAACCCATCAGGAGGATGGGCCACTGAATGCGAGAGTTTTCCTCCTGCGTGGGCATTAGGTGTCAATTTTCAGCGTGGCAGCGAAATGCTCGGAAAATCGCTGAAATTTGCCTGGCAGCCAACTCAATGGAATGAATGAAAATGAAGGGGGGTGGGATGAGAGGTTGGCCATGGAGAAACCACTGAATTTCACTAGGGTCTACTTGGATTACCAATTTAATGGCAACACTTGAAGTTTGGCCCCACGTGGAAATGAAAGTGTACAAGTTAATAGCATTCCATGCAGAGCAAATTAATTTTAGCGAATTTAAGAAAGACTTTCTGTTCTCTCAAATAACATGTTGATTACACACAGATCTTATTACTAGCTAAATGATCAATTACAGTGATGTTTGTAAAGGCAATTATTCTTCCTTAGATATGGATGGGATTTTTTATTAAGATTAAGATATTACATATATATCATCATTTTTATATCCTAAGTTTATTTAAATATCTTAAAATAGCCTGTCTGCCAATGAACAAATTAAGAGTTTTACTAAAATTTAAATAAAGAATTCATACTTTACTTTACTTTGATGTTTCCGAAGTTGAATATAAGGCCATAAATGTAAACGAAAAATAAGGACAGCTTTAAATAAAACATATACAACTCATTGTCATTGTTTTTAGTTTTATCCCTTAAATTTTATTAAGCACTTAATAATGTGTTAACGCTTTTCACTATACTTTATTTTATAAAATGTTTGTGACTTACAAAGATTCTTATGTATTAATTTGGCTTTTATTCCTTCCAATTTTCTCTTAACAGGCTTCGTTTGTATGTTTAAATTTTTATTATTAATGTATTTTTATATATAATAAGAAACATGTTTTCATGTTTTTTGTTTCAAACATGTAAACATATATTGCCCGATATGAATTAGAATTGATTCGACAGTACCCACACACAATTATAATTTCAACATCAAAGCCTTTGATCATTGGCTCAGATTTAAATGCATTTCGATAAATTTTAATTTAAAGAGCAGCCGTCATTACATAACTTTCCCATCTCCTCGAAAGGATCATCCCCTGCAAGAAATACAGACGCCGCAGGCAATCTCCCATTCGTGACCAATCAATAGTTCAATCCCAATCACGAAGAGCCAGCAGAAACTTCATCAGGCAAGTCATAAAATTTAATTAGAAAAGCATTTCACCAGCGAGAGTGACTCGATGCTGGATTACAAACACAAAAATCTATTTTATTGTTTTATGGCTGTGCAAAGAGGAACACAATAAAATGAACAACGGCTGGACCTAAGGCGGGATATCCTCTAAATGGGAAGGGTCCTTGAGTTCGAGGGGCAGACAAGAAACGGCCAACTCGTCGGGGAACAATTTAGGCGGCAGCAGGTGCGAATGAAAAGGACTCTGGTAACGCGACGCCAATGCCTTGGAGCGGGAAAATCAATCGTGCAGCAAAATCAAAGAAAATGTACATGGCCGCCCACCTATATAAAGATATGCACTGCTCAAATAATATCGAATTTAATATAACAATCAAATATAACATGGGTTATAATGTCTTTTATGTCTTACAATGCATTCAAAATGCTTCTTCAAAATTTATATTTTACAATCAAAATTTATGCAATCCAATTAGGGAATTGCTTAGATCAATGCAAAGCAATTATCATAAACATTCTGCTTAAAACAATGTATTACTTTGTATTTTTCATTAAAAATAAACATATATTAATGCCATTTTTTTTTGTCAGCTTTAAAATTTGATTGATTTTTAAATGTCGCAGTGATTGTTTTCAGGGTTTGAAAACATATTTTTACCGTGCACGTTTTTATTTTCCTTTCTTCTCGGATATATTTATTTAACAGCAAATTTGCGCAACGCGTTGAAACGTGGGCGTGTCGCCGCCCCACGCCGAAAACGCGTTTATCAAAGTCAGTTCCCGAGGGTGGATTCACAGCTACGTTTAGGGGAAGGGGGCGTGGCAGGTCCTGGCATCGTTACCGTTAGACTGCGGCTCCTGCTGTCGCACCTAATGTGATACGCATCAATTTATGAAATTTGAAATATTATGACTGATTTTGCGCGTCTCAAATGCGGCTTTTATGTGGGTTCAGATTCGGGTTCGGGTTCGGCTTCGACTTCGGTCCTAATCTGGCCAACAGGTCAGGATATACGATGCCGAGGGGTTGTCTGCAGGACGACCAGCTTAGGTGGAAATACTCGCAGTACCCAAACCAAACGCACACATCTCGCTGGGCAAATTGCAGAGAAGCTGAGCTGCGACAATAACAAAGGACCAGCAATGAAGCGAGATTTCTATTTTTATGACATCGCCAAACAAAGGCAGCGACTTAAAGCGAAGGACGGAGATCTGATCGGACATGGTTGATTGGTTCCCTCTCGTCTTCAGCATCCAAAGCACTGGACAGAAAAACAAGACCAGATCGGTCTTATAATTATAATTATATGACAGTACTTTGATTAATAAGAGAGCAACTTTAAAGAAAATGTTATATATGGAAGTACTAACATACTGGTTTTTTAAACATTTTATACTAGCGTCTTTGTATAGCTCTTAATTTTTAAAATTCCTTTTTGTACCCGTTATTCGAAGTGTAATCTTTGAAATATCTTTTCGTCTGTCTGAATAAACGTCGAGACCTCGGAAATATGTAGAATATGCAGGTTCTAATTATGAGCATAGTTTAAAAGCAAGTTTGACGAGAGTTTTACAACTATTTTATACACTGCAGAGGGCAATCTCATTTTGATGAGACGTTTGAAGGAGTCATTTTCGACACTAAAAAGCAAAAGAGGCAAGAAGAGTCGAATTCAATCGGTCTGTTTCGGTGCAATTTACTCGTTCAGTTTAAAAGCTGAGCAATTAAGATTAAAAACTTTGCTTTAGGACGACTATGTCAAAAATGTATTGTACTATAAGTTCTTCCCAGCAGCTCAGAAAACGAAAGTTAAACGATAGTTCACCACGTGTTCGCAAACGGATTGTTAATTAAAAAAAAAACGAGTAACCATTTAAAGCTCGTATAATTGTCGAGAACGGACTTAGTTTCGAACTTTGCCAAGTACAAGTACAAATTCATTATATTCTTCGCAAAAAAGATCTGGTAAAATATTTGAAACATAAAAAAAAAATTAATCAAAAATTTCCAAAAATCTAGAAGATTTATTTGATTATTTGGGGATGCTTCAAGCGAGTTTTTCTTAAAACAGTGTTTTTTCATTTTAACTAAATTAGCTTTTGCCTTAAAAAAGTTTCTGTGGAAATTGACGGCTAACTCAGGGCGTTTCTACATTAACTATTAGCTACTTTTTAACAGATTTTGTTGGCTAAACAGATAATCTTAGTTTTCAAATGAAATTTCCATTTCATATCGTACCAGTAAAAACAATGTTCTTGTAGCGATTTTTGTTAAAAAATGTTGTGATGGGAAGATTGTCAGTGTTTATCAGAACGCGGTATTTAATTATCAGTAATTAATTTGTGCGTGTAAAATGAAAATTAAGCGATGCCCAAGAACATTGGTTACCAACGAGACGCAACTTTAGATAAGCACTTCAGCAAATCAGCAAATTTCGGAAAATATTTATAAGATATTGTGCATTCATAAAAAATTAAGAGATAAAATGGAAAAAAGTGTAGATACCTAAAGGTGTGATTTTTTAATATAAAAAAATGACAAGCATCTTTTAGTGGTTTTAAATCACTAGATACTTTTGCTACATATAGTATTGTGCGACACCTATCGGATTTTTAAAGCACCTGTGAATCTTACACGGATTGCAGCCGGTTTTAGAACTACCAGCTTTTGTCAGGCAAATTTCAAAACGCAGATTTTAACCAAACCTGAATCTGATGCTGCCATAAGTAAGGTTTTTATATATAATGTTAAATGGTAATAAATTTCAAATGTAAAATTAAGATTAAGTATTTGCCGAACAAAAGATTATTATTATCAGACGTGCTTCATTGTGTCTGAACAGCTGTTTTTTGTTTTGATTTGTCAAGGCAAATCCCCAAAATGATTTTGAATCGCAACTAGTATTCTTGGTATATTTTCCGTTCAACGTGGTATTCTTGCAAAGTGCGGCCACACTATTGCCGAACAGCTGTTGCTGCTGACTAATTATTATCTTCGTTTTTCTAAATACATTCAACTAGAATTAAAGGCAATGCACGGGCGCGTGAAAGTAAGGACCACCGAGGAGGAGCGAGAGCGGAAGAAGAAGGAGCAGGCTCTAAAAGTCCGGGCCTACCGGGCCGCCATGGGAAGGATTCAAAAGAAACGCGAAGCGGGGGAGTTGGACAACGAATTGCTCACTCTAACTGTTCAGATTCTGCAGCGAAATCCGGATGTGAGTACTCTGTGGAACATTCGCAGGGAGTGCGTGCTGGAGAAGCTGTCCAAACTTAAGGATGAGCAGAAGAGATCCCAGCAGGAAGAGGAGGAGAACCCTAATCAAGAAGAGCTGCTGAAGGAGAAATCCGAAGTTCAGGAGTCGTCCCTCGCCGACGACAAGGCCCATTCCATATTCATCTGCGAACTGGACCTCACGGAGCAGTGCCTGATGGTCAATCCCAAGTCCTACAACGCCTGGCACCACCGCTGCTGGACCCTGGAGCAGAATCCCCGGGCGGATTGGCAGCGGGAGCTGTTGCTGTGCAACAAGTACCTTAAGTTCGACGAGCGCAACTTCCACACGTGGGACTACAGGCGCTATGTGACCGGAAAGGCCTCGGTGCCCGCAGCCCAGGAACTGGACTTCTGCACCGAGAAGATCAAGGTTAACTTCTCCAACTACTCCAGTTGGCACCACCGGAGCCTGCTGCTCCCGGAACTCTATCCCAACGAGCAGAGGGACCGGCCCATGAGCGAAGAGAAGCTGCAGCAGGAACTGGAGATGGTGCTGACGGCTGCCTTCACGGATCCCAACGACAGCAGTGCCTGGTTCTACCAGCGATGGCTGCTGGGCAGTGGCGCCCAGCTGGATCGGGCTCCCAGAATAGCCGCCTTTCGACTGGAGTCGCACGGAGCAGTCCTCGCTCTGGACAAACCCTATCCAGATCTTGGGCAACTGCAAACTGAGCTTGTCGGTGGCGAGCAGAAGGTGGTGTTGCAGTCCTGGCTGCCAGTTGATTGCTCTGGAACCAGTTGGAAGTGCCAGCAATCATTCGATTACCAAAAAAGCAGTACCTACACGCTTAAACTTTCCGAACAGGTGGTAAATCTCTCATCTCTTCCTCATAGCGAAGATGGGGCCTTTTACTTTGCGCCACCACATGCCGCCGCCAGTTGCAGCACGGAACTCCTGGCCGAACTGCAAACTCAGCTTCAATCCTGCCTAGATCTGCTGGAATTCGAGCCTGACAGCAAGTGGACTTTACTAACCAGCGCCCTGCTCATGCGTGCCATCGATGTTTCAGCCAATCACGAAAGGAGTTTAGCACACTTGGCCAAACTGGAGCAGGTGGACGCTTTACGCGAGGGATACTACAAAGATCTGGCTGCCAGGTGGACCGTGGAGTCGGAGCTGGCCAATTGGCCTCAAACTGCTGGATTTCCCAGGAGCTTTGCGTTGGCTGAGGACGTCGTGCTGGAATCGCTGCCTTATAGACAATACTTTGTCATAGCGGATGAGTTAAAGTTGTCCACAAAACTCAGGGAGAAATTGGGTGACCTAGTGCCGAAAACATTTACAGACTTGAAGGTGCAGAAAGATTTGTAGGCGGGAATTTATGTTTCATCTTAATAGGTTTCCATTGGAATATCTTTATTTCCCGTTCGATGCATTTTGAGCCTATTTACATGGTTGGGTATCCTAAGAAAATATAGATGGATACAATTAATCCATAAATTTATTCAAATAAGCAGTTATTCCTATTTATAAATACATTCTATTGTATGGACAAACTCGTTTTGTACATACCTTGTGTAACCATTATTACGCTTTATTAATGCAAGTCCGGAATGTAAGATCGATGCGTAAATATACAAATTGTAATATATCTTTTTCCATCAATTCATTTATTTCAATATTACTTAGAATACAAATTTTGCATTTGTTGAAAGTAAGGCAGTCGACCAAAATCGCTGTCAGCCCGTGTTATAAATGGGAGAACCATCAATACATCGACATGCAACCACTGGCTACTTTAAGCGCTCCCAGAATCTGCCACATTTCTGGGGCATTTCTTTGACAGCGCGCTGTGCAGCGATGCTGCTGTTGCCACCGATGTCGCCTTGCGTGTGCAACGAGGCGCTGCGAGATTTGCGGTTTTTTGGCGGCTCTCGTGGTTATATAAATTATGCAAGACCCTCGAGACGGAGATGCTCAGCGACGGGATGACGATGGCGACGCGTCCACAACATTGGCGGCCGCATGTCATTACGTGCCGCAGCTGCACAAAAGCAACTCACTTAAAAAAAATTGTCGGTACCCCAGGAAATCTTCAATTATTATTTACTTTCTAAAAACTCAGCAGGACTTACATAAGTATTTACAAATCTGTCCCAAAGATCGGTCAGTTTTAAAGCTACATACTACAGTTCGGATCTTGGCAGCAAAGGTAATAAAATTATGAAATCAGCCGCTCCTGTGCTACGATTCCAATAACTCGATGGAAAAGGCTGAGTTTGATAAGTTCATAACAGCAAAAAACAGATTATTTAAACTGGTCAAGTACACAACAGACGAATTTCGTTTAATTTCATTATATTCTTTAAATGATTATATTATTTATTGCTAGTTTTTCGAACTAAGACCATTATATTTTGAGTATTCGCTTGAAGACATATAAGACAATATACAAAATAGGATTTTTATAAATATAAATTTTACCTCCAACTAAAAAACTTACGATCTTACACAACTAAATAAAAAGGATACTAAGGATTTGCTATAACTTTTTAAATTATTTTAAAGAAGTCAATCATGAAAATTAATAATATAATAATAATAATATATATATTTCCATCCCGCATTTCACAGCTCTGATCGAAAGACTGATTTCTTTATTCCGATCGAATTCCACTCAAGATAAAAAGCTAAATATATTTACAAATAAAATTAAACAATTACCAGTGATTTTAATTAAAGTTTAAGACACTTAAAATCAGGACTATCAGTTGAAATGGAATTTATAACGGTCATTGGCTCTTATCTTACTTTTACTTGGCTGAGCAAAATATTTCAATGCGTTGATAGCTTAAAAAAAAGAATTTTCTAGTATTGAAAAATAAACCAATGTTTTTTTGTTAAGTGCATAAGACGGAGTGGGCGGGGAAGGACATCCAAGGCGGAGCAGCGTTTGACAGGCGTGTGAAAGGCCGCCAGACGTGCCTGGAGATGTCATTCCCACTTGGGTGTTAATACACGCCTCTAGGTCCTGGAGCGATGTCAAGGGAAGGGAAGGGAAGGGGCAGCCTTGGTGCACCTGTCAAGTGGCAATCCACATGTCGTATGCGCAATGTTTGTGCATGGGAATTTAATGGAGCCGGGTGGATATATCCTGCTGCATATCACATTAACATTAGCAAACGCCTTGGCATTCAAATTTCCGCCCCACTCAGACGGCACCACATCCGATGCTTAATCCCTGCCCCTCTGCTGCAGTCCATACACCAGCATAATCTTAATTATGCCAATGCCATTTCTTGCGTTGGCCCTCCGGCTCCGTTCCGGAAAACGTGACGCTGACAAGATGCCGCTCATTAAAATGTTTCGGGCCAATTATTAAGTCAATTGCACAGCCTAAACGGGCGGTGTCTTAGAGGTTGTTGGTGGTGGGTGTTGGTTGTGGGAGTGGGAGTGGGTCGTGCAACTGCAAATGCATCTTATCTGGAGGCACAGAGTTGCAAACTTAATTAATGCGACTAGTCAATGAGAAGGTCAGGAAACAAGGCGGCGGAAAAGGAGGGAGCGATAGATGCACGTCAAGATGGAATCTCAGGGATGGCCTAATTTATGGATTACGGTTGAATACCGGATTCATGTGAGGGATGAACGCCTTTTTACTCGGATACATTGTATTCTTTGAAATGTATATAACAGGTAGAAGGAAGATAAATACATTTTAAATATACATAATCATGATCTGTCTGTCCGTCAAGATCTAGGAAACTATAACAGCTAGAGTATTTAAGATGTATCACGCAGATTCTGGTTATGCATCAATATATATCGACTTTAACAATTTAAAATCAAACCATTTAATTAAAAGTTATTAGCCTGAATGTAATTTGTCCGATTAATGCTTAGCTAATAGTCGGGACGCTCGTCTTTACCCTTCCATCGTTTTTATTTTTTTTTTTTATGATGTTAAATTTTTAGTTGTGTTAAATTGACCCAATTTTATTGAATAATCCAAGGACTTTTAAACTAAATTATGAATTTAAAAATTTCTTCGACCGCAGAAAATGCGTCCTCTTAACAGGAACAACAGCTGCATATTTTGTAGCTTAGGTTGTGGTGTACAGCTAACTTAATTACTTAATTAAATCGATATAATGCCAGCACTAAAGCTTGATATTAAATTTGCATTTGTATAAAAAATAGTTCGACATCGGTAAATATTTTCTTTGTTCAACCCAGATCCATGTTTGATTCTATTTTTTAACAAAGGTGGTGTAAATGGTTTATTTGAATTTTTCCGCAATATATTATTTTTGTTTTCACTAAATTGCTTCTATACACACAATTTAGAGACTGTTACAAAAATGATTGCATTATTATTTTACCCCCAACAACAGAAGGCGATTTCGATCTAAATGTAGACTTTTTGCCACAATATAATAACAAATTGATGAGGACACAGGATCCTTTTATGCTTCTGCAGTTCATTTTGATCAAATATGGGATTTTATGACCACAAAGATGGTAAATCTGAGTCAGGTACTTGTTACACATGTACATTATTTGTACATCTACAAGGGTATTTAAGGCTTCGCAGCCTCTTAATAACATGCACTCGCCCAACCGAAATTGACTTGAAATTTGTATTTGCTTACCGATTTTCATTTGGCCAAACGTTGCCACATATCTTCGGGCAAGTCATCCCCCAGCACCCATAATTTATAAGCATTTCCATGGTGGTTTACTCTCCCGGTTTTGCTTCTAAATTATGTTTATATATTGCTTGAATTTGCTTTTACCCATTGACTAGACAAACCGAAAATGCCCTTTACTCCAGACAATGCACACAATACACATGTTTAATGGTAGACAGTTTTTAGACGTGATAATGCAAGTGGAAAATCAGAAAAATATATTGTTGCTGCCATGCCAGTCACCAGCAGTAGACATCGCAGTAGGGAAAACAAAGCAAGCCAAAGTATGGAAAAGAATGCCACAGACACCACGTATGACTACACCTGGAAAAATGCAATTCATTTTAGACATTCAGAGATAGAAAAACCATGATAAAAACAAATATATTTCGATAGACACATTGGATATATTTCAAGAAGTAGTACACAAATCGCCAGCATCTTAAAAAGAGAAGAATATATAAATTTGTATAGTGTAGTTTTTAGGTCCCTGACCTAGCCATACACATATGCAGCATAATAACTTTCGTCTGCCTGCTCCTCTCTTCGGGACGAATAGGATAGGATTGGATACTATATATAGAAGATGGGCACGGAATGATTTCTGTCTGCAGCTGTCACATAAAGTTAACTTGAGGGATTCGCCTCGGCAGTCCTGAATGCATGAAAAACTCATTACGAGCAGCTGCAGCTGCGGTCACCCGAGTTTCCCCATCCAATTTTGCCACCCAAGGCTTTCCGACCGAGCAATTGATCCTTAAATAAGTTGCGGCAAATTGGCTTGCCGTCGGCCAATTGAATATCCGTATCGATTGGGCTTAGGGCGCCTCCGCCTGCACTTTTAATTGCATAACACATAGTTTCACGCTTCTTGCTTACACTTCACTTCACTGCCGAACAACTTGGCAGGGCGAAAGTTCACTTTAACAAGTGAACAACTTTCAATGGGCAATTAAAAGGGCATACAAACCGGGGACAACAACAGGCGTCGTGGTGGTGGGGGGTGGTGCGGGTGGGTGTGGGGGGTGACAGGTCGGAGGTCGGAGGTCGGAGGCAGGACGTCACCAGCGAGAAGTCACCGGAAACGTTAACAAAATGCATAGCAGTACAGATTCTGCTAAAGTTTTCGGCCCGAAAGGCAATTAAAGTTTTGGCACCGAAACAACATCAACGCAAGTAGTGCACTGAAAAAAATATCGTTTTTTTTGTGGTTTAGTTTTATAGTATAGCTGTACAGTCCCTTAAGCTACTTATTTGATTTTTTAATTTCAGTATAAGCCACCCAATAAAATTGGTTTTTGAAAATATTTTAAATGTTTTTAAAAAGAAAGGAATTTTTCTTAAACAAAACTAGGTTTAAATACCCTTAAAAGATTACGATTAATAAAAGTTAATAATTTCAAACAGTAAAGAATGTATAAGGTATGAGAAAGTATGAGAAGGACTTCCGGATCCATGACAAAATATAGTAAAATCTGATGATTGCAAATGTGAAATTAAATTTTATTAAAAGCACAAGGCTTTTCTAAAAGCAGCGGGCCCCCTTATGTATAAACATCATTATACGATTTGGTTTGAGCCCTTAACTCATATAACTTATTAAAATTTGCGCTCAATTCAACCAGAGAATGGCGCCATCAAAGTGTGCCACACGCATGCCCATAGAGTCGAAGCATAAAAATTGCATATTTATGCACTATAAACATTAATTTACTTGCCATTTCGCCAGACGCGTAGTTAATTGAAAGCAACAATATCCAAGGCATAGCAGCAGAAGCAGCGGCAGCAACAAATGCCCATTTTCACCCTCTAGAAGCCCCCAGCCGGCACATTTTAACCATAGTGCAACAGCAGCAGCCGAAGCAAACAACTTTAAATTATGTAAAGAATAGGAAAACGCAGCATACAAAAATTGCAGCCATCATTAAATTTGCGTGGGTGTCAGGGAGATGGGAAAATGGCGAAAAAACGAAATGCAAAGGGGTTTTAAAGAGGGAAGTAATGCCAAATTTAATTGCAATTAATGTGCAGTAAAGCGGAAGTGCCATAGAAGCGGGTCGGCCATTGCTGAACGGGCTGGCACTTCCGGTTGGCGCCATGTTGGAGCACGCTCTGCGTCCAACAGGAAAAGGGTTAGAGGGGAGCCAAGTGGGTTAAACCGATACTCGTGGTAACCCTAAAACGCAAGCTAGAATGCTCTTCTCGGTTTAGTGCCAGAGATAACACGTATTTACCGCAGTTGCATATTTAATCTATAAGTTGTGGTATATTTAAGCTTTTGGGTTGACAAGACTGTGTGTCATAATTTAGCTCTGATGTGTAAGCAATAAAATTTCATTTATGAGAAAACGTTCAATGAAAATAAAGATACTATGGTATTAATGTCACAGACACTTAGACATCCTTAGTCGTTTCATGACGAAGATCAATAACATTTGTAGATTAGGGTTGTCTTTTTAATTAATCTTAATAGACATTAACCTGTTTTGACCGTATCTAAATTGCTTTCGTGTTCGGAACTTTTGCACGAAAACAACATAGCATTTTATTCTACGAGATATACTGTTTTTTTTTTGACTTGTTATTTGATGTTATTTAATTCAAATATGTGGAATTTGTTGTGAAATCTATTAAAATTTAGTGAAATAAAAATAAAAGGTTTCTTTACTTGATGGCCCAACAAGACTTGTGCTTTCCAAATATGAAAATAATACTTAGTTGGCCTTAAGCGTGAAAAAAGCCAATATACCCGAAACCCTGAAATTTCCCAATTGGCGTGGCGGAAGCGGATGCTCAAAGTAAGAAATCAAGTTTAAATCGTCCCGATGCCGTTTTGGAACATCGTTCTGACCGCGTGACACCCAAATGCCGAGGCAAAATGGGAGTCCATGTTACATGGTTGCATTTACCTGGCGCCGTCGCGAAATTCAATTACTCGTGCACCATAAACCGATTAACTTATATAAATATTTATATCACTGAAATGCAGTCAGTTGCCAATGGCTTTATGGGTCGCATTCGCAGCACCCCCGTTCGATGGGCTGTACCGGTGGGCGGGGAGGGCGTGTCCTATCAGTGGGTGTGTCGCTGCATATGCAAACAGTTTACCAGCGAAGAGGTGGGGTCGTTGGTCATTCAGAGAAATGGAGCTGCGGCCGCTATAATTTCATTTGCATTTGCATTTGTCGCCGTTTATGACCCACTCAAGTGATGTCAGTTGACCCACTCTCCCCACTTTCATTCCGCCCTGCGGTTCACTTTCCAAGTGTTTAATGATAACACGCTAGGTGTCATCTACAGCCAAGTGCACTTGGGGCCAGGACATAACTAAATTGAGCTGAACAGAACAGAACAGAACAGAAACAGCAGCAGACACCGCCCGGAAGGCATATCATTACAATGCCGACGTGTGTTTGGCCGCTCCACTTGCAGTACATTAAGAGAAAATGTCGTACAAAGTCGGAATAAATTTCAAAAACTAAATGCCAAAACTACATTTCGTCAGGCAAACCTTGTCACAGGCCCTGGGTAATATTGTTAAGAGATGTAAAGCAGTAAAGGATTCATTAGGGCTTGTGGTCAGGGCTGTCAATTCCGCTTTTTCCCGTCAAAACTAATTGTTCTCAAAGGTTAGCTGCGGTAAAAATTTTTAAATGGGAGCAAGAGGCAATTTTGGACTTGTTACAAATTAGTTTGGCTTTTTTTCATTTTTTTCCGAAATTCCTATAAAAAATTAAATCTAAAATTCAGGAATTTTTTGCAGCTGAACATGAATTCATGAATTACGTAGAGTTTTAATGCCAGTACTTATTTTTATTTAAATATACAGAAAACTGGGAAAATGCTGCTTCAACTATAAAGTGTCAAAAATGATTTGAGCATGATAGGAACAATCTTGTCTTACAAAAACGAAGAAAAATTGGATCAAATAATACAATTTGTTTAAAAAAATGGCATATCATGAAATTCAAAAAATTATGTTTGCTTTTTTTGTCTTTTTTAGACATTATCTAGCTTATAAAAAAAATTTTTTTCATCTTCCAGTTTATTTTATATTTTTTTCCAAACATGTTTCATCTTTTTGTTCCTATCATTCAGCCAAAAACATTTTTTTTCTAATCAAAAGTTGGCAGCACTGCTCGTAGTAAGACTTTCTAAAAAGTCGAGTTTTTCACTGTGCAGTTGAAAAGTCGTAGGTGGCAAGTGGCAACTACTTGTCTCCATAAATAGTTGCTAAACAGCTATGGGTCCGTGTAAGTGGCCGATGAGAGTGGGCCCCCGAAGGCTGCATGCCCAGCCTCAAGCGGTTTGGGGGGCAAGGTCGAGGGACAGTGCCTGTCAAGCGCTAATCTCGAGTTAAGTGATGCACTCGACCTGCACTGGTGTCTGATTAATTGAGTTACGCAGACCGACGCAGTCCAAGGCGAACTTTGATTGCCCGTCGGGTTTTGGTCTAATTGGGGTCGAGTTATGAGTTCCCTAGCATGTTGTCTGTTATGTGGTGTAAATTAATCGCTTGACATTCCCTGCATGTCTATTGGGTAGTTGGTAAACATCAAAGATGAACAAGCCTGTTCTACAGTTATGACGGCTATTATTTAGCTGGTTAGATTAGTTGATATATTCATTGTTCAATTGCCGTTGGTTATGACCACACGTGGGATTATAAATTCCCAAAAAATCTGTTACAGCATTTAATGAAACAATCTTAGAATCTCAGTTGCTCAACCTAAATAATAAAATATATTTTTGAAGTGTTGAGAGGCAAATCCGACATTTCAACACGCTTAAGTATCTTATGCAGCATTTTTTAAATTTCAATTACATTCTCGTCATACAAACATTCATCCATAAATTATTCAGCACAATTGAGGATGTGTTGGGTTAACCCAACCGAGTTTGAGAACATCATGAAAAATTCAATTCATCAGCTTTGTATATTCAAATTTCCTCAACATGCTCAAATTGTGTAGGCAGTTCAGTTACCACCCTGCCACATTGATTGTGTTTTGTGACGTCTTCGGAATTTTCCCTACAGTCCCCAATTCCGTTCGTATTTCACCTGCAGCTTTCGCAAAAGTCCCTGCAGCTGCTCCCTTCCCTCGTAGAGGCGTCTTTGTCTGTCCAGCTGCTGAGTCACCAGGCGGCGTTGCAGGTGCATCAGTTGCTGCCGGATCCACACATGATCCGCCTGCAGACGTCGCATCCTAGCACGCAAATCCCCATCCTGACACTTTTCCTTGAACGCGTCGCCTTCGCCTTCAAGCTCATCCACACCCTTACTCAAATCCTCGTCAAAATCCAGTTCCATATCTATGATGGCAACGGCTGTTGAATGCGCATCCATTGTGCAACGGCTGCGACCAATGGTCCTACATTGGAAAAAATACATATAGTTTAGTGGGTCATTTTTGGGTAAATGATTTAAAATACACTATCAAAAAAAGGAATCAAATTTCAAGTTACGACAGGCCAAGATAAATCACATTCACGATAATAAACAATTTTTAAAATTGAAAGATAAGATTTTTTTCAATTTTTATAACAAAAACACCAAGTTTTTATGCCGTGGCAGATATTCCAAAAATTTAATATTCTTTAAAACAACAATATTCCGATTTGTATGCAATAGATAGACAACTTTTGTGAAAATTTTATGTGAGATTTCGCGATAATTATTTATTGATTGAATTTACAGTGTAGAGGTCTGTCCTGGGCAGAATTGAAAACTTGAAATAATTTATGGCAAACTTCCATCTAGTCGCTTCATTAAGAGTAGTAAAAACTTTGGGCACAGTATTCGACATTTCAAAATGGGAACGGAACGTATACGCAGGCGATTTGCGCAGCAAGTGAGTGCTACTTTTTTCTAGTTGATTGACTAAAAATTGAAAATTTTCTCCGTATTTGGTTAAGACATTTTATACTTTTTTCCAGCTAATGCCCTCGATTGGTTGTGAGCAATACCCAGTGATGCGTTGGTAAAATTTGCAAATCGTTTGGCCTAGTTGAAATGCGGAGAATGAGGGGGGGGGGATGCTGTAGCTACTTGAGGTGGCACAGACCGAAATTGCTTTTACGCTCGCTGGGTCAGCCAAGCAGAAAAATGTCTGCCCTGCTGACGATGCCAGCGAAGTTCGATTTCGCACTATCGATTGATTTGGTATTCATTGGGTTCCGCTCGCCTGCCACAACTTTAAACGCTACACATCGCCGCAACTTAGTGCCTCTGTTTCCTTTGTTCAAATTGCTCTGTACGCAGTCGACCCAGTTGCATTTTGGGTTCTTTTTCGGAACAAACGCAGCTCTGTCTGTTGCACACAGGGAAAATGTTCGGTTTTTTTTTTTGTAATCATGTTTAAAGCTGGCTTAAAATAAAATCTTTAAGTATAGATGCTAAAGAAGACGAAGACTACTGATGCCCTGAAAATTGAGTATTAAGACAATATTATTTGATTGTCTTAACAGATATATGCTCTATACAAAATCCAAATGTATGCTATAAAGACAACATTTTGCAATAAAGACAAATATTTCAATAAATTTAAATATGTTGGTGAATGGCAAACAGGCTAAGGCTTTACGATTAATTCGCCCAGTGTGTTCCTCATGGCAAAGCAATTTGCTACTACTACAACTCCGCCTTGACTGTGATGCTAATGATCGAGCCATCTCAACTGGAGACAAGGCCAGGGGCTTTGTCAAAAGAATGTCAACTGGGAAGGTAGAATTTGCAGTAGTTTTCACTTTTATACGGCTCACCAGACTGCAAAGCAGGACAACAGAGGCGACATCTAATGCACAGAAAACGCCCCAGTTGCGGTGTTGTGGCTGCCAGCCGTGCGTATGCGTAATATTCGAGAAATGTCTCGCATTTCCTGCCAACCGAAATGTTCGACAAGCTGTCTATTTGCTGGGGTTTGTGTTTGTTTTCTATTTGTGGTACAGCACTTGGGGCTATTTCGGGATATTACGCAAACGACATGTTGCCAAGACGAGTGATGAAGTCGAATTTTGAAGTCGGCCGAGCTTAGCTTGGACTGCCGTGATGATGATGGCAGGAAAATAAGTGCTGACTGGCATTCACCGTAGTACTTACCTTTATGATTTGACTTCTGAGTTGAAAAAAATACGGAGTTTCCGTTTAGTAAATACAAAATACAGGGGAATGTTTTAGAAGCAGCGCCTGCTGGGCAGGCTGACAGGCTAATTGAAAATCTATGCCACCAAGTGTAAGCCACTATCCTTCTTTATTTCCATTTCCATCTTGATCTATATCGCTGGCTGTCTCTGAACCGCTGTTGATATTCTCTTGCCGGAATTGGCAACTTAATTATTTCAGCGGCACGTCGCCAGCGACTGGCGCTTAAGCCAAGCCTCCCGACAGCTGGAAAAGCGGAAAACAGAGGAAAATAAAATAAAAAAAAAAGGGGAAGAAAAAGCTGCGATATAAACAACTTTGCAGCATGCAACGTTAGTGATGGGAAAAAAAACAACAGCTGCTATTGAGAATCTGTGCTGAAAGATAAAGTTGCCTAGTAAAAGGATTTAACTGCACAACTGGCGAAAGAAACAGTTCGAGAAAAAATAAGCGACGACTCAGTTTCTGTGTGTGTGTGACCCCATTAGCACCACCGACTTTTGCCACGCCCACTTGCCCTCCACACCACACCAACGTAGTCTTACACCCCACTAAAAGTCGAAAAAACCCACATGCGGCTTTATTCATGGACTTGATTCATTAGTAGACATTCACATGCGAGCATTCCCGCAAACGACATTTACTTGCAGTGAATTTTCAAAAAAAGTTTCATGAAGCACTTTTCGAGTTTAAAATACAAATATTTAGTGAATTATGATTTGGTAACTTTTTTTTGGTTATTCAAAATTGCATTTAGGTTAAAAGGAGTTGTAATGCTGCATTTTGATAGATAACGCAATCAAAATTGTACTATTCCAACAGCCAGCAAAACCATTTTAATTTTTGTTATTTTTATAAAAGAAATTGTAACTTTGATTTAAATAGCTTTTATATATTTTTAAGAAAATAAAACTTGAAATTTTTTTTAAATGGCTGACGGAGGTCAATATAAATATTTAAAATCGCACGTGAATGTAAACAGATCGTCTACAAAAGTTGCTAAACTCACTTTATTTAATTATTTTACCATTAATTTCAATAGTTTTAATAAAATCAGGTGGTTCACACAATAAATAGTAGTATTAGAAACGTGTTTGAAATTTAGGGCGATATATTTATATTTTGTTTTTCATGTACTTCCCTCTTCGTTCAGAAAAAAGGAAAACAAGAACCTGTACAAACGATCGTGTACTAAAATATTAAATTAAAAAAAAAGAAACCAAACTAGATCTTTTCACATTTAAAATTTGATAAAAGGAAATGTAAATTAATTACCAACTACCTGTTTTCAGAAACTGGGGTAAATGTATTTTTGAGAACACATCGGTTTTTGTTGCTCAGAGTATTTCATTCTCCTGAAGCAATATCTGCGCTGACTCTTTTTCAATGACTTTGGCAACTTTGACAGGGCAAAAGTAATTAATTTTCGGCAGCTAACTCAAAACGGCAAGGGGTGCAATGAAAAAAATAAGTGCAAAAAAAGGCAACAGAGCCGCCACAATTAACGCCTGCAACTTTAATTGCGTTTTAATGTGCATCAGGCCGCAGAGCGACTGCCTGTTTGGATGGTTACTCGGTGGGTGGTTGGGTGGCTGCGCTGCTGGGTGGCTAAGTGCACGACACGAATCCGAACGGGTGGGGTGGTTCAACGTGCTCTGTCAACCGCAGGCGGTGGCTCAAAAGCGTAACAAGCATTTTGCCGCGCCTCAGCAACATGGCAGTCGTCCTGTCGTCCTGCACTCACACACACACGCCCAAGCTCACAAAGAAGCGGAGACAAACGCACACGTGAATTCGTCCTGTGACTATGGACTATGGACCATGGGACTACGGGACTATGGGTCTTTAGACCATGGGATGCTCCTGTGTGTGTGTGGTCGTGCCTGTGCCTGAGTGCCTACCTCAAAAGCGGCTTAACAAACACAAACGGACCCATATGTACCTACAATACAATATGCACTTACAAAAATTAATAACCTGTACTTACTGTTGGGTAATTAATATATACTAAAGACCACTTTATATATTTTGACAATAAAGCAGGACTGATTGTCAAATAGCTCGAGAGCCTACTTAGTTGTGTGTTCAAACTAAAAATCGGACAAGTGTGTACACTCCCTATTAAGATATAATGCGTAATATTGACTACTCCAACGACTTATAAAAATCGTACAATGTTTTTTGTTTAAATCAAAAGTCAAAACTTATAAAAGATTTCCAAGGATTACTTAGAATTTCCCATCTATGCATGTACAGAAACACACTCTACTCTTTCACCACCATTACAATTTTCATAACAGGCAATTTGATTAATGCAATCATATTGATCGATTTAAACGTTGTCTAAAAGAAAATCTTATATTTCTTCTTTAAATGTTTCAGAGTGTAAAGCATTTTAGTTTGTGACTCAAAAATTGACATTTGAAGAGGACGAAAACCACAAATATCAACATTATAATTGAGAACAAAGAATTGAGAGCGATTCCGTAGCGTTTGTAAGTAAATTCATTTTAGGTATGTTATTTTTGGTAGTTTCCATTAATATTTAATATACATTTTTTATAGAGCTTGCCAAATTTGATAGTGAATCTCTTTTTCCAAGTGCAGTGGCTGGATTGTGAGTCCGGACATGAAAGCGGTCACGAACCCAAAAACCGTGCGCCACCGTCTGGGCCAACTATTTACATGGCACCCATTATGTCCGGACTTGTAGCTGCGTCTTTTGTGTTGTCGCCGGCTTTCCCGTTTCCCGTTTCCCATCGCTCGTCCTAAGTGACGTGATTTAAATTTTTATGCTCTTTGAAATTTTCGTCGTGCGCTTATCACTTCGTGGATGTGACCATCTGTGTCCCCGCCTGGTTCTCAGTCTCCATCTTCATCTCCGGGTTTGCCTCCAACTCTACCTCTACTGATCTGCTTCCGGCGCGCACGGGACAAATCACGTAATCTGGCCTAAGTGGGTCAAGCAGCAGAAGCGGCAGTAAACTGTGAACCGTAACCGGAACGTAGCAGCCCGCACGGAGAGATACAAAGATACAAAGATACAAAGATACTTGGGAACGGGGGGACAAGTACAAGTAAATAGACATAAAGATACACGACATGAAAACCACTGTCAACGTGGAGTCAGAGCCTGGTTATGTCAAGTGTGGTGCGACTAGTGGACTAGCACAATTCTCGAGCACATCAAACAAGTCAAGGGTGTTTTTGCGTCGAGAGCTCCGACCTAAAAATACTCTCTAATATAAATCGGCTTTGTAAAGCGTCAAACTCGGTTTTCTCGGTATCAAGCTTTTCTGTGCAGAAATTACAGGGGCATTTGAAGCCATCAAGTAATAGGATACAAAGATAATTTGCAAGTAAAGTTGCAAAACAAGAAAGACATTTGCTGATGCAAAAACTACAACAGAAAATAAACTAAATCCGTTTTGTTGTAACCGAGGGCCTTTTTACATACTTATTTCCATGGCAATGAATAGTGCAATGCATTACCTGATAGAGCACATCAAATAACTTACTTTATTTCCCATTATACACATTGTGTCATTGGGAAAAGGTTCTGTATGGGTTTAATTTTGTTGAATAGACACTGCTTGTTCAATAGAAATAATTCCCTGTGCTTGTCATTCTTTCACCTTGTTATGTTCCTGCGAAAAACAAGCAGCAAGGACCGGGGAGCTATTTTTCTGTGCGCTTGTGATGTTATAAGTTGTGGCTTTTCGCAGACTTTGAAGTGCAGAGTTGTGGTTTTCTTAGAATTAGAGAAATGTGTCAATTAACCGCATTAATAACATGTAATTTATAGTCAATTAGGATCAAAAATAGTTTGAGGGAAAGTAAAGAATAATTGTTAGGAAGTTATGCTCGCTGAGGGTAAATACTTTTACCGGGTGTTAACCCCAAATTTACCACAAAATCTAAACTTACTCAGGAACACATTGCATCGAAGACTGTTTCGGGGTAAAATTTGCATATGGTTTATTATCCTGAAGTCCGTCGTTTAACAATATTTAGATCGGTGAGTTTTATCTTTTTTTATGGCCGTCTAAAATATTTAAATTTTGTAATGCTTTTTCCAGCTCATGTTTGTTTTTTTAGCCATCAAACGCCAATTTTGTAAGCTGTATGCATAGCTGAATAAGAACTCTTCACTGCTTGCCATGGTCAAGGTCTATGCCTTCGGGAATGGTTTAAATGCATAGTTTTTTCAATTGAGTTCTCGTTAAATGATTAATCCCTTCGGTTTCCGGCAGACAAACATCATTATCGTGCTTAAGTAACGGTTGTCACGTCCGCTCGAGGTACCGATGAAAACCAACAAACGAAATGAGAGCAAACAATGACGAGCCGCATGTCCTCGATTACCACTGAGTGGGGGGCAGACAGGTGCAAAGTGCAAAGGACGACTGATTGAACCCCGAGGGGCAACGCCACTGCACTCGCCAAGGACGCGTCTTTGGCTGCGCCTTCAAAATGAAGTGAAGTGTTTAAATTTAAAATGGTTCGCCATTATCTGCGGCCGTCAATAAGTGCATTAAAACATTTTTGCAGCTCGCATGCTCGCATGCCCGCTGACGGCTGATGGCGTTGACACGCGGCTGACAGGCTGCTGTGGAAAGCGGATAACTGGGAAACTGCAAGCGCAGAGCTGCTGCACTAACGAGTCCCATTGATTTTACCCGCCGGAAAAGGAAAAATAGGAGATGTGCGCACGTTGCGTATGAGTAATGGGAAAATTCTTAATGGGCGAAGAAAATTGGTTGGGCATAAACAATGAGATACCTGCGACCGGAGGGAATGATAATGAGTTCGCTGAGTACGGACAAACGGAAGGAAAGATACCAACGTTGGAGTAGGTGCGCCGTGCACACCAAATATTCCTTTATAAAATTTCACATTTTTATATCTTATCCAATATGCAACGCATACGCCAGTATTTCAACATTTTATTAAGCACCTTAATAAAAGGAAGCGGATATTACGGCATTTAAAAGCAGACGGGAAAATTTGATTTAGATATCAAATCTCCACAACATTAGTTACGAAGATTTTTTTGTTTTAAGTACCAGAATATTCATTAAACTTAATTCTATTAGAAATTTAAATGTTACACTAAGTCTAAAACCTAATTCTAAGCAAATTCAATTTAAAAACATTTCGATTTACCTACTGTGATTTATATAGTATTTTATGACATGTACCTGGAAATGCCAAAGATTAATTATCTTTCTATAACTTAAAAAAAAAAAATTACCCGATGTTTCGAAACCATATGTGCAACACAAAGATCAACAACATTTAATACATTAAATGAATATGAATATGATTTTAATTAACCAACAAGCTTCGGCGAAGATTTTTATATCCTCTTTTGTCAGCTGCTTGCCGGTGTCTCGCCGGAGTCTCATTAATGCAATACTTTCATTATGCAATCAATAAATTATGATTCATATTAATGCCATTTCGCAGCACTTATTGCAGCTCCTTTCACTCTCTGTGCGGCCCACTCGTAGTTTTAATCCTTTTGCATGCATATTTAATCAGTAATTTCCAGCGAACTCAACCATTTGGTTTCCAATTATGATGATTTCTCTGCATTCTTTATTCAATTGTTTAATTTTCTTTTAATTTTCCCCGTTATAATCGTACCCTCTGTTGACCCAAAATCACGGGTATCGAGGCCGTTCAGGGGGAAAGTGGTGCGTTATTCGAATGTGCTGATATCGGGTTGGGTCGGGCCACGAGCCATTTTCATAAAAAATAAAAGATAATAGGCCGATTCGCTGAAGGACTTATCAGGTAAAGTATACGCCACCATTAACCCAGGGGCATTTTCAGTAATTAAGTGAACTGCTAATTGTACACGAAGTTGAGAGGTTCGACTCTGGGTCGCCATCTCTTTAAATGTTCAGATCAACTGATTGCCGGCCCATTGTAAAAGACTTTACGTTTCAAAAATTGTATATTACTTAAAAACCTACTTGTTTTTTGGTTTTTTTTTTTTGGCAAATACATTAAAACATAATAAAATAAACATTCAAAGTTGTTAGTAAATTTAATTTTCAAACTTATTCTGTACGAAATAGGAGATGACCGTCACACGTTTAATAAAATAGAATTAGTCAAGCATTTGCATAAATAAATGTAAGATAACAATTTAAAATTTATTGAACATGATATTCGTTTTTTCCGACAAATTTAAAATTTCCTGCCAAAATGTTCGGATTCCACAAAATGCAGCAGGTAAAAGCTTTAAAAAGCAAACACACCAACACATGGAAACAAGGTTTAGAGAAAGAAAACCGATTTACATTCAAATGAGCTTGAAACTCTTTGCCAACTTTAGTACGTCTCGCGAATAAATAATTTCAAATAGAGAGAGCTGATTAGAACCTGTATACTTCCATTTAAATTTCAATATTTTATTTCACTGATGCGACTATAAAGTCGCCGCCAAATTACCACTGAAACACAAGCACTTCCTTTTAATAGTTTTAGTTCCCCGCATTACAAGTGTGTCAGCTACTTCCGCCCAGCATTTATGCTGAACAGTGTAATATTTTATTTAAAATGCGCTTCTGCTGTTTGTGCTGCCTATTTGTCCGCCTGGCCAATATATCACTTGGGTAGCTGCCGAAAAAAGACACTGACATAACGACAAATTTTCCTGCTATTTATGCGGCAGGCAAATAGCAGAGACCATTGCACATCGGGTGCCACGACCCATTGGATCCAAAGTAGGTAAACATATTTAACATACACATGTAGCCCGTTTGTTTATAAAAACATATATGCAAATTGTCATGGCTCGCCTTTTGGCCCTGTGCGCACTGGCTTGCACAATTCGCGTTATTTATAATGGACAATTCTCATGTTGTTGTTTATAATTTATTTATGCAAATTTTCAGCTGGACAAGCCACCGCAGTGCAGCTGAAAAACTAGTGGACTAGTGGAAAGGTGGCTCTGTGTAAATAGTTATTGCCAGCAAAATCAAAACTAAAGTAATTTTCAAATATAATTAATTGCAATTGACCCGATTTGTAATTTATTTATTTAAT